TGTTATGCCATTGTGGACCACATTCTGCTGCCGTCCAGTGGCGTCACGACTCGATCCTGCTGCGACTCAGGAAGGCCTGTCGTCTGCCGGGGAATATCACGGTAAACCAGCGGGTCAGGGGTCTCGAGGGGGAACTCGGGGCGCTACGACCTGACCTTGTGGTCAGGCACGAGCCCTCGAAGAGCGTCGTCATATGCGACGTCACGGTTCCCTTCGAAAACCGTTGGGCGGCGTTTGATGAAGCTAGGGCGAGGAAAGTTGCTAAATACTCGCCCTTGGCTGAAGCGCTCCAACGGCAGGGATACCGGGTCGTCGTGACGGCCTTCGTCGTCGGGGCCCTTGGCTCATGGGACCCGAGAAATGAGCCGGTGTTGGAGCTCCTGCGCGTAAGCAAGGCGTATGGGGCGATGATGCGCCGACTTATGGTATCGGATACCATACGCTGGTCCAGGGACATCTACGTGGAGCACGTGTCCGGCGTCCGCCAGTATGAGGCGCCTCCGCGGCCTGTAGATGGTAGCGTTCCCAATGTTTCTCCGCCTCGCGCGGTTCGTCGCCGTGTGACTGGCGCGCGGGCGGATGGCGGAGACGATGGTTCTCGCGCCTAAATCGTTTAGTGAGAATGTCGCGTAGGGCACGTCTTGCCCCGGGGGACCCGCACCTTTTTATATGTATTTATTTATTTATTTTTGAAGTGTTTGACTGCCGCGCCGACGGAAGCGGCCGCCAGGGCGCTCTCGCCGTCGCGGCTGCTGCATTTTAATTATATTTATCTATTTATTTTTTATCGCGCCCTATACACGCAGGGATACTTTATTGTTTTTAGTTTTATATTCTAGTCTATCGTTTGAGATGTTTGACTGCCGCGGGGGCGATGGCGACTGTATCGGTCGCCATCGTCCCCGCGGCTGCACATTTTAAACCTATTTATATTTTATTGTACATATGCATTTATTTTATTCTCTCTTTTATTGTATTTATTATTTATTTTTAGCGTGTATGTATCGTCGTATTTATTTATTTATTCTGCGGCGGGTCCTGCGTTCCGGAGGGACGTGTCAGCGGTTGCGTATGTCGCGGATGTTGTATAACGGTACGTTGTATATATGTGTATATGTCCCGTGCTATAAATGTACGCAGGTATAAATGTCGCGAATAAATGTAAGAATGTATACAGGGAAACGCGCCGTGCGCATGCCCCGCAACGGCGGGGCATACACTATGTATGTATTTATTTATCTTTTTGTTTACATATTTAATTATTTATTAGTTCAACTGGTTTGATGTGTTGATATATTGGGGCGGCCTGTTAGCCGTCCCAATATTATTATATATATTCGAGCCACATAGGAAAGATCTTTTCTGCTTCTCTTGTGTTCGTCCTGGCCCAGCAGGGGGGGCTTGGTGTCCCCTGCAACAAAAATGTTTGTATTAGCGCATGGCATGAAAAGCCAAAAGTAAAATTGTATTTACCACCGGGGGTTATGTCCCCGGTGGAACATTAGCTGAAAATAAAAGCGTCTTATGTGTGGAGGGGGAGAGGAAACCTGGGAACACGTGTAGGAGGAATGTACAAACTGGGGGGTGGAAAAGGGGTGGCAGGAGATGTTAGGCGAGGTATTGGGAGAAGAGGGAGAGGGTGAGGTTTGGATAAGAAGATTAGAGGAGATAAGGGAGGGAGGTGGATGGTTTGGAATGGATGAGAGCTTGGATGAAAAAATGGAAAATGCGGCGGAAGCGGAGGTCCGGGAGATGAGTGAGGAAGGATGCTTGGATGAATGAGTGATGCGCTTTCTCTCTTTCTCATGCGGTTTGCGTGGAATGGCGAGCGTTCCTTTTTGTTTTCTTTTTTCTTTTTTGTAAGCGGAGCGGAGGTCCGCTGTGTACCTCGCAAGGGTTTAATAAACACACACACACACACAAAGTATTTTCTAAAATTTGTAAAATGAACTATAAGATTATAAATTTCTAAAAAAAAAAATGATTTCCTTACAAAAAAGAGAATTAGTTTCTTTATATAAAAATTGTGTTTAAATAAATATTTGGTTGTTTTAAAAGTAAATAAAGTACAAG